ACAAATGATAGTTACTCGAGAGCCGGTTTCTCAATGCTGCGGAAATATCTGACAATAGCTTATAAACTCAACCAGTATTTTAAGGTGGCTGAAGGCCACCCCGAATGGTCAGAGCACACCCCATTTCATGATGCTGCAGGATGTGGGCTTTCTCTCGAGTAGATACAATGGTCCCAGCTTGCTAGTGTTTCTCGGGAATTGTCTTTAACCCATTTTCAAAAACCTCTGACTGCCTTTTCCTTTCCTTGTTGTACGCATTGTCAAGAGGACCACAGTAAGGTCACTAGAGGTATGTTAGAAGAATGAGTCACTTAGCAGAGGGCTGCTGTGGGGAAGACAAATGTGTGGCTCCTGCTGGAATCAGTCAGGGGTTCTACAAGAAAGAGAGCTGGGAGCAAGCAATTCAGAGAAAGAGGCACTGATGTGATGGGAGGGTAGGGGCAACTGGGTCAGGGAAAGGCACTGCCTGTGTTGCATGCCACGGGCCAGGAGCTGCAGCCACCTCCTCCCCAGCCGCCCCTCACACTGAGAAAACACTTAGCATCTCCAGAGAAGCTCCGAGGGCCCTGTCGTATTTGCCTGCAGAAAGAGACTACATAGCAAAAACAAGCCCTGACATGCACACATCCCCTTAATTCAGTGGTTCTCAACCTTCCTAATGTTGTGACCCTTTAATACAGTTCCTCATGGTGTGCTGACCCTGACCATAAAATGATTTTCATTGCTACTGAAGTAGCAATGAAATTTTGCTACTGTTAGGAATTGTAACGCAAGTATTTGTGTTTTCTGGTGGTTTTAGGAAACTCCTGTAAAAAGGTTGCTTGACCCCTAAGTTGAGAACACAGTACATGGGGAACCCAATTTGTATGAAATTTGGGAATTTGGGGAAGGCATGTTTTAGTTCCCATTCCTTGCAAAATTCTTGTTACTAGAGGTGTTACAGCCTACTGTGTTCAAAGCTATCAAATGTGAGCAGAGGCAAGAATCATCGCTTACAGCAAAAGGAGTCTCCCTTAGGCATGGACTTGCTCATTTTGACTTTGTGCTTTAAATTCTACTGACAAAGGCTTAATTTAAGATAAATCACACAGGATGGCAGATCTGGTGTCTGGAATATAAAAATAACCTTCATTGTTCACTGGAGACTTAGTCTGTGCTAGACTCCACCGTTAGTGCTTCAGTGTCTCCCTTTGAATCTTACAGCCACCCTGAGTGGCAGGAAGTTTTCATAGAGCCAGCATTGAGCTGATTAGTTGTTCAACATAGTAAAGACACCACAGTGGCAGAGCCAGGTTTCACATCATGGCTCCTGAGTCCAGGTTCCTCACAGCTAGAGCTCTGTGCTGGGCCTTCACCAGTTTGCCTAACATGTGCAACCAGTGCTGAAGGAACCGGCCACTTAGAGCAGTCTGTTGACTGTTAAGTTATTGTTTACTGCCCACTTCCTAGGCAAGGTAGGTAATGGGACTGGATGACTCTCACAGCGGTGATAAAAGTTGGCACTGTTAAAGACTGTCTGTGCAGCTCCTCCATTTGCTAGTGATCTCTGTCAGAATTAAAGCGACATTTTGCCTGGGAGTCTCCTTGAGATTTAAATTCACAAAAGAAGCGACTTCTTTTTGGAAGGAATCCCCCAAAGTCTGTCTCTAAATCCTGGCAACAAAGGGAGAGAAACTGATGGAGGGACAACAGATCCTGAAAGAGACCCACACAGACTCCCACTGTGCGAAAGGGACCTGTGTCTTAATTTTAGAAAGACATTTTGGGAATCATCTCAAAACCTGCCCAACACTGCCCCATATTCTGGCTATTTATCACTGTGTACTCATAAATCATCCCAACACTCACTGGCCTAAAATAATCCTTCATTTATTTTTTTTTCCCATAAATCTGCAGTTTCGGAAGAGCTGAGAGAGGACAGGTGCCCTGCTTAGCTGGAGTAGCTTGAAGACTAAGGATGTCTTAGCTTCTATCCCCTCTCCAGATTTTCAGACTGAGATTGGTGTGTGTGTGTGTGTGTGTGTGTGTGTGTGTGTGTGTGTGTGTGATGCTGGCTGTCAGCTAAGACATCAAAATCTTTCAGTGGGATGCCTTGCAACACAGGGCCTCTGGCAAGGATCTCTGGAACAGTGGACAGCCATAGTGTCTTTTAGTACTTAGCCTTGCATTCAGATAGTTCCACAAGTCCCAAGACACAGATTCAAAAAGTGTCAGGGACACCTTGTTAGAGCAGAAGGCTGTTGAAGGCTAACTGAGATGAGTGTTGTTCCTCTGTTCCTTTGTACTTGGGGGGAAGAAACAGTGTGGTGACAGGGTTGGCCCTCAAATTCACCGATACAAAACAAAGCAGAAATGCATTGTCCAGAATTTCAGCTTGTTTGTTAATTCAACTGTTGGGAAAGGTTCATTTGGTTAAAATTATTTTCAGAAATCTACCAGAGTGAAAATTGTCCTTCTGACTTGAACCTTTTCTACTATTATGCACATTCTCTGGGTTCCTTTTTATTATTTAAATGATCTTATTTTGTGTGTATTTTATTGTGTGTTTTGCCTGCATGTATGTTTGTGCCACTCTTACATGCCTGGTGCCTGCAAAGGCCAGAAGAGGGAGTGGGAGCACCGGACTTACTGACATTTGTGGGCTGCCCTGGAAGAGCAGCCAGTGCTCCCTACCACTGAGCCATGTTTTGAGGCCCCTACTGGGTCATTCTTATTCATCCTTGAATGTTGCTAAGAGTGACTTCTCTGGGTCTCTGATCATTAGTTTCAAAGCCAAGTCCAGCACAGGAATCCTCTTTAGTGACAGTTTGGGATATTTTGTGACAGTGACCTTGAGCATGGAAAGGGGAAAGGAAGATGAATGGAACAAAACCAAAGTCATACAGCTGCTTTGGATATGGCCAACTTTGGGTTTTCTGTGACACCAAAGCCAATAGGGCAGACAAGGAAAACAATTACATGAAAAACACAAAGCAAAAGACATTTTCCCACTATCTCAAGCTTTTCCCGGAGACCTTATAAATAGCACAAGTGACTAATGGATCTCTTCCTTTCCCTCCTCTGCCACATTCTGGGTGACAAGGCAGGAAAAAAAAAAAAAAAAAAAAACAGATAAGCCCCCAGAGTGGCTGCATTTATTTGTGTTTGTCCATGTTAAGCTTCCTGATCCAAGTGACTTGGGAGACAGTAGCCAAACCTAAAATACAGAATTTGTTCTCTCTCTGTCTCTGTCTCTGTCTCTTTGTCTTTCTCTCTCTCTCTCTCTCTCTCTCTCTCTCTCTCTCTCTCTCTCAGTCTCTCTGTCTCCCTCTCTTCCAAACAGAAAAACAGAAACCACAGCCTAGAGATTTTATAAGTTGGACAGAGTTATCATGCATCTGAGCCTTTTGGTGAAAGAGTTATCTGTAGATGTATGGTCAGTGAAGACAACAGCAAAGGCTGCGTTTGGCCTCCTGACTCCCATAGATAAACACAGACATCATTCTTAACCATCTGATCAAACAGTCATTTGTGCCATGAGAGCAGTCACTAGGAAGAAGTGGGTTATTCCATCCCTGCTTCTGTTGCTCCCTCTGTTGAGCCCTTTACTTACAACACGACAGCTATTAACAACAACTAGAAGACAACTTGAGTGCTTTGGGCTTTACTTCCATCAGCCTGGAGCTTACTGTTCAGGTCCTTGGAAATAGAACAGCTGTCCAAATGCCAACATTGATCATCGGAATTTGGAAACTAACAACTGGAGTTTAGGACTTCATCATATGAGTATTGAAGCATACAAGAATTCAGCCTATAACGAGCAGGTTCTGGAATGTTCTAGTAATTGTGACAAGCTCTCTTTTTCCTCCAGAGGAGCCTGCAAGCCCCCTCATGCCTGTTGTCCACCTGGCCTTGTGGGGTGAAAGACAACAGTGGCTCAGGAGCCTCTAAGCAGCATCAGAAACCAGGTTGGTAAGAGCTGACTAGTCCTGTGGCCTGTAGAGAAGCATCGAAGATTCCTCCTGAGGAAGGGGCTCAGGAGGAAGCCAGGTTCAGTGTGAGGGGACCTGACAATAGAGGGTAGTAACCAGGTTCAGGTATATTCTTACCTTGACATTCATAGGCTGAGGGCAAGGTGGCCAAGCTGTCTGTCCCTCAGTCCCCTTATTTGTACCTCTCTCACAAAGGTGGTGTGAGTTACAAGACTTAGCACAATTCAAGTCCTCAGAGCAACAGTCTTGCATGTAACACATGCTGTGCCGAGTAAAGGCTTAGTAGCTACACTCATTGCTTTAGTTATTTCTCTCTCACTGTGATGAAACACCATGGCCCAAAGCAACTTACAGAAGGAAGAGTTTATCTTGGTTGTGGTTCCAGAGTGGCAAGAGGTCATCATGGCCAGGAAGCATGGCAGCAGGCAGCAGGCACAGTGGCTAGAGCAGGAAGCCGAGAGCTTACATCTTTAACCACAAGCACAAAGCAGAGAGAATAAACTAGAAGTTGGTTGGCAAGGCATTTTCATCTCAAAGCATCAACTCCACCCCCCCCCCCATGATACACTTCCTCTGGTAAAGCTGTACCACCTAAACTTTCCCAAACCACACTACCAACTGGACATCAAGTGTTCAAATGGCCAGGACTATAGGGAACAATTATTACTCAAACTACCACACAAACAACGGCAAGCTGCCCAGATATCAGGTGGGACCAGGCATACCCCTGTGCTTGACAGAGTAGGAACACCATGGCCAAGAGGCTGAGAGACACTGTTGCAGATGTTACAAATTGCCAAATGATGTGAAATGCTATAAGCAGATCCAACTAAGGCTAAATGACACCTCCAGGGAACTGAGTTATGAGTCATGTGCTCCAGAGTTATACCAACCAGATTTTTTTAAAAATGGGAAAAAAAAAAAACAAATAGCACAGGGTGGTTAAATGTATATTATTTCAAATGAGATAGGGATAACTTTAGCCTACAGTAATCAACCTTTTCTACCATAAAAAGAGCATGCTTTTGCTTGATTGGCCATCGTATCTACTAAGATTTGAACAATACTGAGAAGATTAACATGGTCCTATGCAAGGATGAAATGCAAATTCACCAACTGTTCTGTATTGAAGAAAAGGAAAGGAAAGAAAAAAAAGGTACATGATGTGCCATGGGTATGGTGGTACATTCCTATATTCTTAGCACTTGGGAGGTAGAGGCAGGAGGAAGAGAAGTTCAGGTCTTCCATGACTACCTAGTGAAATCAAGGCCATCCAGGCCTTGCGACCCTATTTCAAAAGGAAAAACACAACAATTGCATTTGAAAACTGAGGAGTTGGGCTGTGAGATAGCCCCATCAGCAAAACCCCTGACAAGCCAGTATGAAGATCTGAGTTTAAATCACAGGTACCCAAGTAGGCTTTCTCTTGGTCCACCACCCAGCTCCCAAATCATGACATGGAGACTTCTGATAGTTATGAATTCTGGCCCCTATCTTAGCTCTTATTTTAATCTGTTTCTCTTTATCTACATTTTGCCTGGGAGATTTTTACCTTTTATTCTGTATATCTTGCTTTCTTGCTGTTTCCATGTCTAGCTGGCAGCTGCCTGGCTCCTGGCCCAGGGCCTGTCCCTCTCTTTTCTCCCTCGTTCTCTTCTTCCTCCTCCTTATTCTCTCTACCCACCAGAACTGCTTATCCCTCTCCTGCCTAGCTATTGGCCATTAAGCTTTTTTATTAGACCAATCAGATACCTTAGGCAGGTAAAGTGAAACAATTGCAACACACCTTCACAAAATTAAACAAATGCAGCACAAACAAATGCAACACATCTTGACATCTTTAACAAAGGCAGCAGAAACAAATGCAACACACCTTCATATAGTTAAAGTAATTTCTTGCAGCATAAACAAATGTAACACATCTCTGCCTAGTTAAAATAATGTTCCACAACACATGGAAAAGCCTAGCACTGTGTATAATCTCATAACCTGGGGACAATGGAAGATAGGAGAGTGCCCAGAGCTTTCAGGACAGGCATTCTAGCCAACCAGCAAGCCCTAGGTTCAGTGAGCGAAGACCTTGTCTCAAAAAAAAAAAAAAAATAAGATTGAGAGCAACAGAAAAAGATACCATTGTCAACTTTTGTCCTTCACTTTTGTATACGTGTATAAAACACCTATACATGCACACTCACTCATGCACACATGCAAACACACGAACACTCACTCATGCACAAATTACTTCAGAGGGTAGTTAACTACAGTGGCCAGATAATGTAAGAATAGTGTTTGAAGTACTAAAGGATGGAAGGGGAGAACTATGTCAGATTTTTTTCCCTCAGTGCTGGGAATTGAATCTAAGGCCTCACACACTCTGCCACTGACTGAGCTGTTTTTCCAGTGTGCCCCTCCCCTCCAACTTTTACAGACCAAGGTAATTCACAGTAATTATGAATAGTTCCTTAACTAGCAATTTCAACCCTACCAAATCCAATACACCTTTTATATAAAATATTTTACAGGCTATGGCAGCGTGAGCACGTGGCTGGTACTTGGAAGTTGGAAGGAGCATCAGGAGCTCAAAGCTGTCATTGGCTACACTGAGCTGTTGAGGGTAGTCTAGGCTACATAAGACTTTGTCTCTAACACCAGAAGAGGGCAGGAGAGATGGTTCAGTGATTACAAGTGCATTCTGTTCTTTCAGAGGAACCAAGTTCAGTCCCCAACACCCACATCCGGTGGCTCACAAATCCCTATTGACTCCAAGTCCATGGGATCTGATTCCCTCTTCTGGCTCTTTGGGTACCTGCACTCAGACACACTCATATACGAGTAATTTGAAAAATTAAAAATAAATCTTTAAAAAGACCAGAAACAAATAAATAACATGAGAAAGGGGAGAGTAAAATGAGGATGACTTGCATAATAAAGAATATTGATTTTTGCACACTGAATCATAGTACTTAAATCTTTCTCAGTGAATATCTGGCATTGTTTTGTAAGGCCATAGAAGAACTAATGACCCTTAACTGATCAGCTCTTTCTCTATAAATTATGATGTTTTAATATAAATGTATTTATTTATTTATTTACATATAACAATGATTTTCAAAGTGTAAAGAAGAAAATTAAAAGTGCTATTATTGCTCTGTGAGTCAAAATTTTCCCTGTGGCTACCATCATAAAGATTTACTTCTAATTGTTATAGATGGCTACTTAAACATTTTTTCTATAACTGAAGTTTAGATTTTTCTGTTGCATTTGAATGAATCCTTATGCCATGCACATGCCCCTAGGAATAAAAACGTGCTTCCAAAACATTTCAACACCTAAAGAATACCCTGTGAGTAATTGAGGATTTATTCAATCTTTTCTCGATTAAAAAGCTTTTCTATTCCTTTATTAGTGGATATGTTTATTGTTCTGTTTCTGATTCTGACTAATGAGCTGCAATAAACCCTCTCACTTGAATCAACTGGCATACCATGTTCTATATTTTGAGTGTTGAAAATATTAAATCTTAAAAAGATGTCTCTTCATATGTTTGAAATCATTTTAATGATATATTTTACTTATTTTTATTTTCATGTATGTCTGTGTGAGGGTGTTAGATGCCTGGAATTGGAACTACAGATAGTTGTGAGCTGCCATATGGATGCTGAGAATTGAACCCAGGTCCTCTGGAAGAGCAGCTCATGCTTTTAACCACTGAGGCATCTTTCCAGCCCCCTGTTTTACATTACTATTTTCTAACTGCTTACTAAAATTACGTCTAAATTTAAACTTTTTAAAATTATTTTTTGAGATAGGCCCAAGTGGACCTAGAATATTTTATGTAGCTGAAGCTAGCTTTGAACTCTTGACTGTCTTGCTGCTGCTTCAGAATGTTGGGATCACAGATATGTGCCACCATAACCATTCTAATTTGAAGTCATACAAGCAATACATAAGGAGACCCTTATATAGCTAGGGTGACTGACATGTTTTCTATAGAAATATAGTTGGATAGTTCATTTCTACTGTCAGCTATTCATTTATTATTTTATTGTTTAAAATTTGTGTGTGTGTGTGTGTGTGTGTGTGTGTGTGTGTGTGTGTGTGTGTATGTGTGTATGTGTGTGCAAGCATGAGCCCCAGTGGATGGGTATGCAGAGGCCGTAGTTGGAAGTCAAGTGTCTTCTTGACTTTTGCTTTGTTCTTTATTCCCTTGGACAGGGTCTCTAGCTGACCACAAAGCCCACTGTTTGGCTGGACTGGCTGGCCAGTGACCTACATGGATACACTTGTTGCTACCCTTCAATGCTAGGGTCACAGGCACTCTGGCCATGCACAGCAGCTTTACTTGGGTGTTGTTGGATTTGAACTCAGGTCCTATGCTTGTCCTGTATGTGCTCTTACTCACCAAACCATCTCCCCAGTCCTCCCTAACTAATTACCCCAGCAAAAAGTGAGTTTTTCTAAGTGCCAGGTGTTGTAATTTAGAAAAGTGGCACTCGAGAGAAAGAGGCCATGTGACAGAGCTGGAGTGGAGGGGTTTTTTTTTTTTTTTTTTTAATTGGGGAAGTGAATGGGGGGAGGGGAGAGGAGAGACCAGCCTCTGGGGACAGGAGTGGCAGAAGAGAAGAGAGAGGCACAGCGAGGGGGAGGGAGAGGGCAAGACACAGAGACAAGGAGATAGAAAAGGGGATGGGAGGTGGGCAGGGCCCTTTTAAAAGGGAACATGTTGAATAAGCACAGGTGGTGCTCTTAGTGGCTGCAGCTGAAGGCATAATCTGTCAGAACCCTGAGGAGAGGCCAGTACAGATGCCTGAATACTAACACCAGGCACCATTTTTCATGTGGGTGTTTAACTATACAGATAGTCCCTGCCTGGGAAGGGCAGTGTAAACCAGGTCAGAAACATAGCCAGTATCAGATGGCACAAGCCATCGTGTAAAAACTGGCTTTAGATGCAACACAAAGCCATATAAGAGGTTGAGAGAGAGAGCATGGTGGAAGAAGGTCTTGTTTACAGATTTAAAAATGCGTTCCCACTGATGGGTGGTGAGTTAACAGGGGCGGGGCCAGGAGGTGCATCCACTGGTCTCAATCTGTGCTTCTGGACCAAGCAATTGCTAAGAGCAGCCTGGACACATGAGGTACAAGTACAAGTGGTGAGAGGTAGATTCCACGCTATTTGCAAACGTTTTTTAAAGATATAACTGTGGTTTATTTTAGTCTCGTCATTTTGTTGGAAATTTATTCCAATATTATTACTTATCTTCTATATTTGAGCACAATATTTAATGTACCACAATTTACGTTTTCAATAGGTGTGGTGGTGCAAATCTGTACTCCTGGAACTCAGGAGGAAGAGGCAAGAAGATGGCTGCAGTGTCAAGGCTAGCCTGGATTACACAGCAAATCGGAGGCCACGTTGCCTGGTGAGACCCTGTCTATGACAAATCAAAAACAAAGTGACTTTTCTGTGTATCATGTTTATTCTTGCTTCATAATTTTCTCTTGCTCTGGTACAGGAAACTGAGGAAGTCCTGACTAAATGTGTGAGGAGAGGTTGAAGTCCTGACACAGTCCTGAAGAACTGTGTCCTGTTGACATAAGCACAGCCAAGTCAATCATTCCAGTGCCTCACACATGTGAGGGCCAAAGCCTCCCTTTGCTCCAAACAGGAGTGTCAATGAACAACTGATTGTGTGTGCAAAAGTTGTCAACCACTGCTTCCTCTTCCAGGATGAAGGCAGCTTGAAACTGCTCCCCTACATGGACCTCCTGTCAAGATTAGCTAAGCTTGTGAGGACATTCCTTTGTATACAATACACCCATCCCGGATTTAAAAGTATAAAATAAGTAAGCTGAGGTTCTGTGTGTAGTGGGTGCTCCCCCCACTGGAGAGAGCACAGTCCATCTGATCCCAGTTGTACACCACACTTGTCTGTGTGCCTGGCCTTTCTTCATTCCCTTGTTGCCCTGTTAGATCATTCTCTGAAGTCATACAGGGCACAACACTCTGAACACTCTGAAATATTATTTTTTCTTTTTTTTTTTGTAGTTAAGGGCTTTATTGAACCATTAAAATTCTAACAGTTTCTGTGATATTGTTCTCTGAGGTCTAAAAATGCCAGAAATGTGCA